TTTTGGTACCAGGAATCGAACTTGGGTCCTTGTGCCTGCGCAGCAGGCCCTTCCAGAACTCTTTAAAGGTTAAATCTGTTTCTGAGACCATCTGGAAGCACAAGTGGCTGGCATTCAGGTCATAACTGAAGACTTTGGTCGTAAGTTAAAACTAAAATTCCAGTCATAACCCAAGTTGTTCCTATGTCAGGCTGGTCATAACTTGAGGATCCACTATATTTTACAAGAATCCATTTTGATTTTATTCGATTAATTATCGATTGTGAACCTGGGAATTGAACCCAGAGCCTTTGCCCTTAGCTACCTTCCCAAGTGTCAGGCCTGGCCCAAACAAATGGGACAAAGCAAACAGGCTGCTTTTCGCGAACAACAGCAGCTTCTCAGTAAATAGGGCAAATGGACTCAAAACGAAGTATACAACCCCTCTGGCACCGAGAAGTCTGGTGACTGTCTACACACCTCAGCAGACTGTCCTTGGGCATCCAAGTCATAAACATTTCACCCCGAGTTCCTTAGCCCCTTCAATACCATGTAAGCCTAATTTCTTTTCCAGGTAGTTGCTGATATCTCTCTCCTGGTATTAGCTCATCCACTCATGGATGAAATCTCTCCCAGCTGGCTGCTGCTCTCTCTCTCTCTCTCCCAGTGTCAGCCCATCCACAGGTGGATGTGGTAAACTCGGCTTTTCCCAGCTAGCTCTTACAATCTCCTGAATTTAGTTCCTGTTCAGTGGAATACACTTTTCTTTTAAAGCCTATTTTGATAAGTGGATTCTTTATAACACCAAGCCCATTTATTTTTTATTTGAGACAGGGCCTGGCGAAGTCACTAAGTTGCCCAGGCTGAGCTTAAACTCATGACCCTCCTGCCTCAGGCTCCCAGAGTGCTGGGATTACTGACTCTCCGTATCAGGCTCAGTTTAAGAAAACATTTTTTAAAAGGACATATATTAAACATATTAGGATAGTTGTCTCTAGGAGAGGAGGAAAACATGAACAGGAGATGGTGCTGAAAGTAACTAAGGAAATAAAACAGTACCAGGCATGGTGGTACACACCTGTAACTTCTGCCCTGTAGGAGGCTGAGGCAGGAGAATTGAAAATATGAGCCCAAACTGGGTAACTTAGTGAAACTGTCTCAAAAATAAAAGCTAAAAACAAGCTGGGGATGTAGATCAATATGAAGGCCTTGGGCTCGATCCCCAGTATTGAAAAAAAAAAAAAAAGAAAGAAAAAGAAAAGAAGTAATACAGACTAATGTGTGCAAGGACCCGGGTTGAATTTCTAACACAGCAAAAATAAAACAGCACCACCTGCTGCGCAAGCACAAGGACCCGAGTTCGATCCCCAATACCAAAAAATTAAAAAAAATAAAACAGCAAAAGAGTGTGGAATCAACCCATCATGAAAACATGCTCTGGGCATTAATAAAAAAGGTAAGCAGAATGAGATGATTTCAAGTCCCAGAGCCCAACAATCTCAGCCTGAAACAGCCTCTGGAGAGTCACCCAACTCAAACAATGGGATACTAAACATGCAAGATGAGAGAAAGGATCAACAGAAGGACTAGACTTATACTTGAGCTCTCTCAGCACTAATTGTGCTGAGAAAATGGAAGAAACATTGACTGGTTTTAGGGAAATACTCGGACATGCATATAAAACTGGGGGGATGCTGTCTGCCTCGCAAGCACAAGGTTCCGAGTTCGATCCCCGGTACCAAAAAAAAAAAAAAACCAGGTGGAACTCTTTAATTCATGAATGAGCATTCCTGTGTCCAACTGGAGATGGAAGTCTGAGAGAAAGAAAGACATTTTTTTTTTTTTTGGTACCAGGGATCAAACTCAGGACCTTGCGTTTGCGAGGCAGGTGCTGGAACCACTGAGCTAAATCCTCAGCCCAAGAAAGACATTTTTTTAGACTTTGGAGGGCTCAGATGTCTCCTTCCTACTTCCTTCTATGAGAGCAGTGATGGGAGGGCTGAGAGATGGGGTCTTGGGTTCCTGCTCCTGCTGACTGTTGAGTGCCTTGTCTGGAGGATCTGACAGTCTGTCCAATTGCAATTCCTGGATTAATTAGTAACAAACGGTAGAAATGCTCTCCAAAAGTATAGCTTTAATGCCTGGATTAATTAGTAACACAGCCACAGCCTTACCCCAAGTACATCCCCCAGCCTGCACACCCTGGGAGGAGAACAGAGGGCAAGGTACTGAACACTGTCTCTCTAGGTACTCGTGATATTCATGTCCACCTTGTTCAGATTTCTTGTGAGTATGCACTACATTCATAAAAACAACACATGTGCTTTTTTTCCTGTTTTGGCAGTGCTGAGGATCGAACCTAGGGCCTGGCACACTCTAGGCAAGTGCTCTGCCACTGAGCTGCACCCCCAGCCCATACAGTTTTCATGGATATATATTTTGTCCATGTGTATGCATTTTCAATGTGTGCATATATTGTGCACTTTTTTTGAAACAACCCAAATTTTGGATATTTTTTAAATAGAACTAATTTAAAAAGTGTACAAAGATGCATAGCTCAGCGGTCCAGCACTTGCCTAGCATGCATGGGGCCCTGGCTTGATCTCCAGAACCCCAAAAACTGTCCACAAGCACAAGGTCCTGAGTTCAATCCCCACTACAAAAACCAAAAGTATCCACAATAGGATATGCATTTTAAATATGTATAAAAATGGTGGGTTTTTTTTTTTTTTTTTCTTAGGGTCTTTTTTTTTTTTGTATAACCTTTTATTGGTACATTTTAGGTGTACAATATAATGACATTCATCATTGGAGATATGCACCTTTACATACTCTCTTGGTTCTTATTTTTTCCCCCTTCCCCTGCCCTCCCTTCAACCCCTCTATCCCTCCCTATTTACAAAGACTTTGTTTTTATTTTTTCATTTTCTCATATTAATTCCATTCCCTTATTTCCTTTCCCCTACCCCTCCCACTTCCCCTTCCCTTTTGCCCCTTTTCTTCCTATTGTATAAAAGTGTTATAATATGCACATACCAACAACGACAAAACAAAATGGCAGGGTGGCTGCAAACCCAAACTCTCCCCAACTATTAGATACCACAGAAGGAAGGGATATATTTTGTCCCAGCGCTTAGCCAATTTGCTTCTAGAGCAAGCATCACTTTATCATCCTTTACTATTAAACTAAATTTCATGCTTTCTTTGGATTCCATTAGTTTTCCCATTAATGTCCTTTCCCTGTTCCAGGGTCCCATCCAGAGCAGTTCCCACTGCATGTAGCTGCTCTGATCTTTCTGGGTGATCCCTGCACTTGAAACAGGGCTCAGCCATCAGCCCCTGGCTATGATCTCTGCCCAGCCCAGGCCACCATTCCCGGGGCAGGTGGAGAGTGCTCACCCAGACCCTGTGCTCTGGGGCCTCCAGCTGCTCTTGGGTGCAGCACTGATTTCCGTTGTTCTCTTCCTCCTCCCCAGCGGAGCACAGGATGCACAGGATGATGGTCTTCGTTCCTGAGCTCTCTCCAGGAAAGTGCAGCTGCAGCCCGGAGGACCGTGCCTGTGCCTGTGTCTGGAGTCTGCAACAGCTGAGCCAGTAGAGTAGCTCTGCCCTCAGCACATACCCAGGCCTGCAGCCTTCTCTGCCACAGGGTGACTGACCTCTTGAATGAGTGGCCTCGGGGCAAACAGGCTCTGCCTGACCTTCATGGTCTGAAGTCACCAGTGTTGTTGAGTGCCCGGTCAGTGCCTCTATTTCTCATTATCATCAATATTTAACCACTGAGCAGGAGTCAAGGCTGGAATTTTATGACTAGTGCTTTTGAGTAATGAAGGTCATGGCATCATATGAATTCCCCAAAGAGCTATAAAATGAAATCTTTGGAGGGTGGGGCCGGGAGAGGCGTGGAAAACCAGCGAACCCCAGAGCCGAAGCAGTCCAGGTCCATATGCTTGATGAGGAAACTGGAGTGGGGTGCTCCCCTCCCCTGTCTGTGGGCCCTGGGTTTTCTGCCCTATGCCTCTGTGTTGCCAGCAACCATTGTCATTGGCTGAACAAATAGGAGACTGTGCTCCACAGGTGTGTCAGGCTGAGTCATTTCCTGTGTCAGGTCCAAGTTCCCAGCTGGGCATGATGACACACACCTGTAACCACAGCACTTGTGAGGCTGAGACAGGAGGATGTCAGGAGTTCGAGGTCAGCCTGGGCTACATAGTGAGTGCAAGGCTGGTCTGAACCACACACATCAAACAAACAAACAAACAAACACAATCTAAGTTCGTTGACTTAAGCAGTGGGCAGCAGTGGGGACCACAGCATGGTGCAGGGTTAGAGAGACTCAACAGGGACTCAGCGTGAAACTCCAGTTCGTCCCCATTTCATTTCATAACTCATTCATTCATTGATTCATTCAGGAAATATTGCTTGAGCACCTGCTGTGTGGATGCACGGTGAACAAGACAGGTGAAGTCTCCAGGGGAGACAAGCAACAAGAAGTACCCCCAAATATGAATGATATAACTGTGGCTAGTGATCGTTGCTGTGAATAACTTAAATAACATAATGATGGCAAAAGCGATAGGGTGAGGAACCATGACTATTATATAAATATACTTAAAAATAAGCTGGGCATGGTGGTACGGTTCTGTAATTCCAGCAGCTGGGAGGCAGAGGCAGGAAGATTGCAAGTTCAAGCCCAGCCTCAGGAAATTAGCCACTTCGTGAGACCCTGTCTCAAAAGTGAAAAAAAAAAAAGATCTGGGGCTGTAGCTCAGTGTGAGGGTCCTGGGTTCAATCTCCAGTACTGGGTGAAGAAATGAATGATGAAGAATTACCAGGAAAGACTCTGAAGACATTGAGAGCTTAATGATTTGGAATAACAAACAGGTGACCCTTGGGGCTGGACCCAAGGAATAAAGCTGCAGGGTAGACAGGAGTGGATCAACAGAGCCTTGTAGAACAGGGTAAGACATTTGCATTTTACTATGTATAAGAAGCCTGGGGGTTTGGGCCAGAAGTGATCTGATGTGGTTGACATTTGTCTAAGACCTGCTGAGAGGGAAGGGGGCTATGGGGAAGCCAGAGGTACCGCCGACTCGTTTTCAGGGTAGTGCCGCGGGCCAGGCTGGGGCTGTGGAGAAGAAGATGAGAAATGGTGAGACTCAGGATGCATTTTGGAAAGGTAGCTGGTAGATTTCAAGAGAGAAGAGCTCAATTCTTCTGCAAACGCCCCTAGGAAGGGTGGGGCATAACCAGGTACTCCACAGTCTCTAGCGCTTCCTTCCTAAGCGTGTCCCCCTGCTTCTCTCTGGGTATCAGGCTCAGGTCCACAAGTTGGCATCTCTGGGAAACTGGGCCAGGCTGTGAGAATCCAGGCTCACACTCTTACAGCTGGAGGGGAACTTGTTTCTTGGCTCTGGTTCAAAAATTCCTGGGAAAGGACTCTGAGGGGCTGGCCCGGGTCATCAACTCATGTTTTGGATCCACTGCTATGGCTGAGGCAGGGAGGATTGGGCATCATGGGGTCAGCGTGAGTCTCAAGCCCACTGGGCAGCTGTGAGAGAGAGGCTGGGAGAGAGCTGGGAGAGAGCTTGACCGCCGCTCTGGCGTCCCTGAAGGGTCACTGAGCACAGTCCTCCCAAGAACTCTTACTCCATGCCAGGCACCTGCTAGTGGTGATCAGCACAGACACTGTCCCTGATCTCATGGGGACTGCAGATGACAGACAGGTGTTCACAACAGGGATCCTGTCGTGATGGCCCCTATGTTACCAGTGCCCTGGAGGAAACGTGGACACAGACAGCACGGTGTCCCTGCGTGCTCTCTTCCTCATAGCTTTGGATGTCATGCCTGCCTCACCCTGCCCAGTATTGAATTGAACCCAGGGTCCCGGCACCGAGCCACATCCCCAGCCATCCCCTTTTGCATTTTTTACTTTGAGACAGGGTCTTATCAAGTCACTAAGTTTCCCAGGCTAGAATTGAATTTGCAATCCTCCTGCCTCAGCCTCCCAGAATGATGGGATTGCAGGCATGCACCACTATGCCTGGCTAAATTTCCCTTCCCGACTAATCGACTCTACCTTGAAATCTCCTTTCCTGACTTCTCCAGTCCCTTATCTTCCCATCTAGAAGATGGTGAGCAATCAGCAGAGCGGTGGAGCTTTTCCTTGCTATTGTAATATCTGCCACTTTATAATCCTACTTTCAGTTTAAATGTCACCTTCTCAGGGAAGCCTTCCATACCCGTTGAGAATTATGTTTGACTCTGCATAATAAAGACCCAATTCCAATGATTTAAATACATGAGCATTTATTTTCTCATATAAGAAATGCAGGTGAAGTAGATTACTGCTGTCCTAAGAACAAACAAATCAGGGCTGAGGTTTCTGAGGCTTCCTCATGATCCCAAGATCATGGCTGACAAGATGGCTGACAGAGCTCCTGCCGTGAACCCCAATTCCAAGTGGAAAAAAGGCATAAGAGAAAGTGGGAAAAAAGCTAGCTATGGATTATAATGGGCAAATAACCTACAGAGAGCAAATCTAGGTAACCCAGAGAACTGTGGACAAGGAGTTATTTCCATAGAGCAGCAGCAGAGCATCCAGGTGGGCTAACCAAAGCGTCTACCGCCATAGTGGGTGATCCTCACAGGCCAGGCCCAGCAGGATTGGATCCCAGATTATCCCCCCCCCCATGATAAATCCGTCTCTTCTTTTACTAAGAACAACCTTCAAATTTTAGAGACATACGGCCACCGAGATAGAGACCACATCTCCCAAGCCCATCTTCGTAAGTGTAATAAATAGGACACACATGTGTAAATACCGAATAGTTTCTCGAGTGTGAGAAAGTGAAAGTGTAAATAAGGATTAAAATGATTAAAATGAATAATTGATCATTTTTAAATAGGAAGAAAAGGTCCAAAGGGGTAGGGGAAGTGGGAGGGGAAGGGGAAAGGAAAGAAGGGAAAGGAAAAATTATAAGAAAAGAAAAAACTGGAAACAAAGTCTATATAAATAGGGGAGGGTGGAGGGGGTGAAGGATGCACAGGTAATGGGGAAAAAATAAGAACCAAGATTCATCATGTACAGATACAAGCACCCAATGATAAATGTAAATGTATTGTATACCTAAAATGTACCAAGAAAAGAATTTAAGCAAAAAAAAAAAAAAAATAGATAAAAACAGCTGGAGATATGGCTCAATGGCAGAGCACTTTCCCAGCCTACTAGAGGCCTTGGATTTGATCCTTAGCATGGGGAAAAAGCTCTATTGGCATATGTAATATTATTTGTCTATGTAATGTCTATGTCTGCTTTTGTGCTACATTAGCAGAACTGAGTGGTTGTGATACTGATTGTAGGCCACAAAGCCTAAAATATAGGCTGGTTGGCTCTTTACAGAAAGTTTATCAATCTAGACACGAAGATAGAAGGAACCTGGGTTCCATGCTGCCTGCTGTGGACCTTGTGTCTGCTTCTGGAATGTGATGTGAGAGAAACATTTGGGGTCTCTGTGTTACAGAAATGTAGCCTGTACTGTAACAAACATACATCATACATGCTCATAGACATGTTGGGTAAGTCAATAACATGGGGGCAGCAGCGCTGACTTCTGATCCTGTCCATCCTGGCATCAGCCATCTGGGTGACATTGAGCTAGTGTCACTGGCTAGTGTGGGTCCTTACCTCATTGGTAATGGAAATTGAAACAGACATGCAGCATGAATTTACAGGAAAAAGCATTAACTGGAAAGTAAGAGAAAATGAAGAGGGCACAGCTCTGACAAAGATCAAGCTGGCCTCCTAACAAAGGAGAGAGAAGACAGAGAGAAGGGCTCCCATTTGAGGAACTGAGGGGGACGGAGGTCGGGAGAGAAGGATGAGACTGGCCCACCAGCACAGGACTGGCCCCCGGTTCTCAGGGGGCTGTGGTGGGCTGTTGATCATTATCTCTGCCCTGCTTTTGTAGCTCCAGAGGAGAAATCCTTACGGCTTCAGGACAGGAGATGGCTGTCATGTAAGGCTTTGCTGGAATCCAAGGCGAGCCTAGGTTCAGGACTGTGGAGACTTCTGAGCACAGCTGAATGTTCTATACATCTCTTACCTTGGTGTCCTCAGTCTTGAAGGGAGATGAGGTAGGCTAGGAAATTTAGGGCTAATAACCCTTGTTTTGCCAACTTTTCCTGAATAATTAGTAAATCCATACCCAAAGTTTTAGGTAATAAAGGATACAAGATGAAGTCACATGCTCACTCTCTCTTCCTTTCTCTCTCTTCCTCTCCCCCTCTCCCCTTCCTGCTCTTGGGTGTAAATTAAAAGTCACTGTTTTTGGCAACAAAACAAAAACCTCCACCACTTTTAAGTCCTCATTTGCCTCAAAAGAAAGTACAAATCATGTTTTTAAGAAGTAGTAGGTTGGGTTGGGGATTTAGCTCAGTGGTTCCACCACCTGCCTCACAAGTGCAAGTTCTCGAGTTTGATCCCAGTACCAAAAAAAAAAAAAGTTATAGGTTAAAGGCCCAAGAGTTTGTCCTGTCCCTGTGGTGTTCTCTGTGTCGCTAGCGGTCAACTCGACATCAATTTCTTTTCTCCCTATGTTGTTGAGGCTGCTCTAATTCCTGGGCTTAAGTGATCCTCTGGCCTCAGCCTCCTGAGGAGCCAGGATACTAGGCAAGCACCAGATCTTAAATTCTTTTTTTTTTTTTTTGGTACCGGGGATTGAACTCGGGTCCTTGTGCTTGCGCAGCAGGCGGCAAAACCACTGAGCTAAATCCCCGGCCCCCAGACCTTAAATT